CCAAAGGTCCATATGTAATTAATTCCTTTATGAAACATAAATAGCCCAAAGGTCTCCTGCTAAACCTCAGAAATAAGGCGGAGAACATATTTATAAGATCAAACCCTGTGACGTCTTCTAATTTTCTCGTATTACTTCTATGTAACCTTTCTCAAGCGATCAGCAAATACTTTAGCAATATAGCATAAATCGCTAATACATCTGGTGAAGAGATACAGGACTAAATACGAGACAGGAAACAGCCGAGAAACAACCCCAACGGTGCAGTATATCGCAAACCCTGCAACTATTGCGATAAAGCATATTTGGTGAAACGGGACGTGACTTCAACTCCAAGATCAGCTAACATCGAGCCGACGTCCATCACCACAGGACTCCCAACTCCATGGTAGTGCATGTAGTTGAAGCTGGACATCTACCGAACTCAAAGGAAGCTGAAGTAATCCATGAAGGATTAAACAAATACAAAAGGAAGGTTATGGAAGCTGCATACATCGCGACAGAGAACAATATGAACACCGCATCGGAAAGATTCAAACTATCCAAGGTCGTGGCAGCAATTACGCATACAACGAGTGCGAGGTCACGATCATTAGGTGACACCAGTTTCCACGTAATATAAATATGCTGTGTACTTTCTCCAATGTAAAGCCTCCAGGCTAGTACAGTGGTAATGTGTCGGCCTCTCATCCGAGGGGTCGGCGGTTCGCGCTCCGCCCAGGCGCGAGAAGTTGCAATTGTCGCTCGGAGGTTACTGCTGTGGCTGGGCACCACGATGGGTAAGGACTAAGCTCTGTCGCATCAGCACTTGCTGACACACGTTGATCGAGTTGACATTAGTCGGCACAGGCCCGTGCGCTGCTCAACTTATCGGACTTATCTCCAATGTATATAGAGAACCCCCGCCGTGGGCAAACAACTTGTTCGAGTTCTCAGTCCTGAGCTTGTCAAGGAGAAAATATCAATACTCTATGCCTAGCCTAAAGGCACAAGTACAAAGGGTCACTGCTCAAATAACTCCTCGGGCAATAGAACCTACTACACGGATGGATCCGTGGATCCCATAAACCATACTGCAGGCGCCGGCTTTGCAGCAAAGGATACCACAACATCCATTAGGGTCACTGACAATGCCTCATCGCTCCAAGCTGAAATGGTCGCGATCATGGAAGCCCTGACACACGAGTCCCTAAGGGATGGACATGTGGTCATGCATACAGACTCTAGAGCAGCCATTGACAGTCTATAGCATAACATGCTTTTATAACATATGAAATTTATACTTTCAGTGATAAGTTTTCTATAGTGTATGGATTATACTCGTAGTATATGTATGTCATACACAGACTCTAGAGCAGCCATTGACAGTCTACAGCATGATCGTAGGTAGAGACTCGACTCATATCGATCTCCTCATGACTGGTTTGATCGATCTGCCCATGCCACGTAGTCCTAGGTCGTCCCACAGGCCTCCTCCACCCGGGGTTGTCACGTAAAGAGACAGCCAGGTGGGCAGGATCAATCAGGATCTAGGTGGCCATATAGCCTGAGTTGGCGATCACGGATTGTGCATGTAACAGGTCCTCCTCACCCAACACTAAAGAGAATGATTGGTATAATTGTAAATTTTAGGTTGTTTTCCTTTTTGATAAACAAAATGCAGGTTTTAGGCCTCCTTCCCCTGCCCAGCACTCCTGAAATCCTGGCTGTATTCCGGCCATGCTTTCTATAAAGGATATCCCATGAGATATGGTTAATAAGGTCATTCTGCCAAGCACAAATTGCAAGGGATATATCAAGGAATATTCCTTAATGGTGCTATAAGGAACAGACCTTTGTTCAGTCACAATTTAATAAATAGATTAAGGCCAACGTCAGTGGCCATGCTAATGAAATCTTAAGTCAACCTTCTACTTAAATTAGTATTGGATATATATTATATAACTGCCACTCAGCCAATGTATAATTATACTGTTCAGTATAAGTATTTTGTAAAAAATATGTTGGACTATATATATAGGAAAATTTATACTTTCAGTGATTTTTTTAAATTTAAGATGGCATGCATATTGTGTATGGATTATATTCTAAGTTCAGTTTTCCAAGTTATGTTGACCCATTGTAGCTTACAGACAAGTATTGCTCATATCCGTGAAAGATTCAGCACGTCACAGCTTTTACACGGTCATCCTTTGGCGAACTGTGCCGGAAGTGTTTCCAGGTGCGTTTTCCTCTCTG